CAGCCTCCACAGTCTGCTGCGCCTGGTCAATCCCGAACTGCTGCAACTCCGGGATCTCCTGCACTTCCGCCTTGGCGGGCCCCGTCAGGTTGACCCCCAGCAACTGGTCATCCACCTCAATGTCGAAGATGGTCTGGCCCTGCAGCTCCTGCTCCTTCCCATTGGGGTCCAGGCCGCCCTTGCCAACCTGCTGGTAGTACGCAACCGACGCCTTCGCACGGGCCTGGTCGCCGTCAAAGGCCGCCTCCAGCAGTTTGTTCCTGCGTTGCTTCGCCATCTGGTACTCCCCCTCGAACTGCTCCAACTCGTCTTCGCACTGCTCCAGCCACGTTTTGGCCTTCTGATGCTGGCCCTTCGCCTTGGTGAGCTCCTGCCATGCACCGAGCTGGGGCTGCCTGGGAGGCAGTGGCGCACGCTTGCGCGGCAGCTCCTCGATATCCTTGGCCAGCTGCTCACTGCCTCTCGCCAGCTAGTCGAGCGCTAAGAGCTGGCTCGAGGCTGCCTCACCTGATTTCGGCCCCTAGCCAACGCCAGGCTTCGCACGGCCGCCTGCCGCGCTGGCGCCGCTGCCTGCCATGCCTGCGCCGCTGGGCTTGCTGCGCAACGGAGGCTTGTTCTGGTGCGGCTCCAGCCACGCTCCGATCTTGCAATGGCCCCCGTGCCTGTCCAGCCGCCAGATGTGCACCCACTGGCGGGGGTCATTGCACCCTGTGAGTGGTTTGCCATTGGGCATCTCAAGCTGAACCCCACACTGCGTGACTGAACTGTAGATGGCCGGCTCGGGCCAGGATGAGGGGGAGGAGAAGAACGAGAAGAAGGAGGAGAATGAGGAGGAAGGCGAGGATGAGGATGCGGATGGGGATGATTAGGATGATGGGAATTCTGATAATTATGAGGAGGAGGAGGGGGAGGAGGAGGAGAAAAAGGACGACGGTTACGACGAACAAGGAGGACGACGAGGACGAGGACTAGTGGAATCACAGTGGGGTCTTGTTGGGGCTCTTGTGGGGCGTCTGAGAGTTCTCTTGGTGCTCTTTTGAAGGTTCTTGGGGCTCTCTTGGTTCGGGAAGCTTTCAGCGCCACTTCATTGTTCCCAGCGCCCGCTCCATCTAGACTGCCCCCCGCGCCATCCCACCTTCTCCCGTCATCTACCCAACCGTCCCCGAACTTCCACATGAACCATGCTATCCTACCTACCGCATGTCCTTGTGAACTCTTGCATGCCCGTCCCAACTTCCTCGCTTCCTCATGCCCGTCCCAACTTCCACATGTCATTCCCCACTCCCCCATCGCTTTCCCAACTATGGGGAACAACCCTCCCCCACGTCCACTCGACCGTTCCCATGCGCCATCCTGTCTCCACATGATCGCCAAAACCTTCTCCGTGCGCTCGCCACTCCCCCATCACCCGCGCAACCTGCTACACCTCGACGTGCAGTCCACCACCCTCGCCATCGCAAACCAGCTTCCCGCATGGCCTTCCACACAATGTGCGAGCCCAGAGGGCCCCAAGATGCATGCGAGATAGTCCAAGAAGGCCTCGAGACGCTTAAAGATCGCTCCGAGACGCCCAAGATAGCCCCAAGACGGCCAAAAAGGCCCACACATCGCCACAATAATCTTGCTGTTCTCACTAACGGTGTTTCACTGAGTTGTGGGTCCTCGACGTTTCGAGCTCCCGACGCTCCAAGACTGCCCAAAAGGCCCCCAGGACCGCCCCAAGACTGCCCAAAAGGCCCCCATGAGGTTCCCGACACGGTCCAAGGGTGCTCCGCCCCAGAGGTGCCCAAGACGGCCCAACAGGGCCAAAGACAACTCTAAGAAAGGCCCACGAAGGGGAACACGAACCGAAAATTAGTCTTCTGGGCCCCAAGGAAGCCTCCAAGACGCCCCAAAAGATCCCCTAGAAGCTTCCAGGAGGCCTCACAACGGCACCCAAAAAGCTTCAAAACGGCCCCCAAGAAACTCCCGAGAGGCCTCCCGCGACACCCTATGGGGCCACGAAGCGTGGGAGGGGTGTGCCGAAATTGAGGTGAAACTGCGCGCGGACCCTGCTGCTGAGGCCTTCGGCGGAGCACCTTCTAGAGGACACGGGGAGGGCAGAGGCCAGATATGGGAGGAGGGAGGAGGGGGAGGAGGAGAGGAGGGACGCGGGGTGGGTGCTGCCTCTTCAAAAACGAGAACCCAACACCACAGGATGATCGAGACCAGCAAAACATATCCCGGCAACGCAACCTAACAGCGATGTGTAGGAGCATATCTGGAAGCATTCCCCTTAAGACTCAGATGAGAACCAAGTTGTAGAATTCTGTTGTTCTCGCAGTCGTAGTCTCATTCGCGATGACAGTCGCAGTGGCAACGGCAGTCGCAAACACAGCCTCAGCCTCAGCCTGCCTCAGCCTCAACCTGCCTCAGCCTCAGCCTCAGCCGGCCTCAGCCTCAGCCTGCCTCAGCCTCAGCCTCAGCCTGCTTCAGCCTCAGCATCAGTCTGCATTCAGCCATGGCCTCAGCCTCAGCCTGCCTCAGCCTCAGTCTGCCTTTAGCCTCGGCCTCAGCCTCAGCCTGCCTCAGCATCAGCCTGCCTCAGCCTCAGCCTCAGCCTGCCTCTGCCTCAGCCTGCTTCAGCCTCAGCCTCAGTCTGCCGTAGGCCTCGGCCTCAGCCTCAGCCTGCCTCAGCCTCAGCCTGCAACAGCCTCAGCCTCAGCCTCAGCCTGCCTCAGCCTCAGCCTCAGCCTCAGCCTCAGCCTCAGCCTCAGCCTCAGCCTCAGCCTGCTTCAGCCTCAGCCTCAGTCTGCCTGCAGCCTCGGCCTCAGCCTCAGCCTGCCTCAGCCTGCCTCAGCCTCGGCCTCAGCCTCAGCCTGCCTCAGCCTCAGCCTGCCTCAGCCTTAGCCTCAGCCTAGCCTCAGCCTGCCTCAGCCTCAGCCTGCCTCAGCCTCAGCCTCAGCCTGCTTCAGCCTCGACCTCAGCCTCAGCCTGCCTCAGCCTCAGCCTGCATCAGCCTCAGCCTCAGCCTCAGCCTGCCTCAGCATCAGCCTGCCTCAGCCTCATCCTCAGCCTGCCTCAGCCTCAGCCTCAGCCTGCATCAGCCTCAGCATCAGCCTGCCTTCAACCTCGGCCTCGGCCTCCGCCTGCCTCAGCCTGCCTCAGCCTCAGCCTCAGCCTCAGCCTCAGCCTCAGCCTCAGCCTGCCTCAGCCTCAGCCTCAGCCTCAGTCTGCCTTCAGCCTCGGCCTCAGCCTCAGGCTGCCTCAGCCTCAGCCTGCAGAAGCCTCAGCCTCAGCCTCAGCCTGCCTCAGCATCAGCCTGCCTCAGCCTCAGCATCAGCCTGCCTCTGCCTCAGCCTCAGCCTGCTACAGCCTCAGCCTCAATCTGCCTTCAGCCTCGGCCTCAGCCTCAGCCTGCCTCAGCCTCAGCTTGCCTCAGCATCAGCCTCAGCCTCAGCTTGTCTCGGCATCAGCCTGCCTCAGCCTCAGCCTCAGCCTGCCTCATCCTCAGCCTCAGCCTGCTTCAGCTTCAGCCGCAGCCTGCCTTCAGCCTCGGCCTCAGCCTCAGTCTGCCTCAGCCTCAGCCTGCAACAGCCTCAGCCTCAGCCTCAGCCTGCCTCAGCCTCAGCCTCAGCCTCAGCCTCAGCCTCAGCCTGCCTCAGCCTCAGCCTCAGCCTCAGCCTGCTTCAGCCTCAGCCTCAGTCTGCCTTCAGCCTCGGCCTCGGCCTCAGCCTGCCTCAGCCTCAGCCTGCATCAGCCTCAGCCTCAGCCTCAGCCTCAGCCTGCCTCAGCATCATCCTGCCTCAGCCTCAGCCGCAGCCTGCCTCAGCCTCAGCCTCAGCCTGCTTCAGCCTCAGCCTCAGTCTGCCTTCAGCCTCAGCCTCAGCCTCAGCCTCAGCCTGCCTCAGCCTCAACATCAGCCTGCCTCAGCATTCAAAATGTGGCCCTGGAGTGGAGTTCTGGGAATTGAAGAACACGAAGTGGCCTACAGTTAGCTCCAGGCATTCAAAATCATTCCCAGGAGTGGAAATCTGGGAAATCGAAGACCACGAAGTGGCCTACGGTTGGCTCCGGGCATTCAAAATCATGCCCAGGAATGGAGTTCTGGGAACTCGAAGACCACGAAGTTGCCTACAGTTGGTTCCGGGCATTCAAAATCATGCCCAGGAATGGAGTTCTGGGAACTCGAAGAACACGAAATGGCCTACAGTTGGCTCCGGGTATTCAAAATCATGCCCAGGAATGGAGTTCTGGGAACTCGAAGACCACGAAGTGCGTTACAGTTGGCTCAAAAAGGAGTCCCCGTATTCGCGCGGCACCCGTCCGGCATCTGCCCAGACCCCCCTCGGGAGTCAAGATGCTTTCTTTTGAGCCCACTAGAAGCCTATCAGTCTTCGCTGTTAGGTAACAAGGTCCTTCGAACGCAGAGCCGACGCACTCGAACAAAGCAGTCTCAACCAGAGACGTTCTGAGAACATGTCGCGCAAATCCCCCAAAAGTTCTTCTTGGAGCATTCTTTGGTGGGCCTATGGGCAAGCCAGGACGCTTCGCCACTGCCTGCACGAGCTGGCTCACTCGGGTCGGGCGAAAGGGGGGGATAGCAAAGCGGGGGTCTGAGAAGCAGCTCACGCAGCTGATTCTCCCGGCGCCTCCCGGGGCCGGAGGCGGCCGTGTAGCGAGGAATGGGCCCCTGGTGAGGCCGAAACCAGCTGCATGCAGCAAATTTCGTACGTACCCCCCCCTTTCCCAATCCCCCCCCTTTCGCCCGGCCCGACTCACCCGTCCTCGCCCGCACCTCTCCCAGTGTGCGCCCCGACCAGGCTCGCGCGAGGCGGCCGTGGGCCACGAAGGCACCCGGGGAGGCCCGCGTCGCCACGGGGATGGCAGGGCAGGGCATGGGGGGTCCACGTCAGGGGGGGGGGTCGGGGAGGAGGAGGAGGAGGAGAAGGAGGAGGAGGAGGAGGAGGAGGAGGAGGGTAGGCATCGGTGCCCACTCCTCCTCCTAAGGGGGTCCTCGCCGACGAGCATGAGCTGTTTCACCCCGGCCGTCGCCCGGGCCCAGAAGTGCATGACGGAGCTCCCCTTGCAGTCCGTCGCGCGCACGTCGGCGCCCGACGCCAGGAGCAGGCGCACAGCCTTCTGGGTTGCGGCCCCCTGTCTCGGCCCCCATGTCCCCCCCTCTCCTCCTCCTGCCTCCCCATCCTTCTCATCCTCCCCATTCCCCCCTCCTAACTCCATCCTCCTGCCTCCCTCCTCTTTCCTCCCTCCTCCCTCCTCCTCTCTCCTCCTCCTCTTCCTGCTCCTCCTCCTCCACCCGCTCCTCTCTCCTCTAAACAAATCCCCAAAAAATGCACCAAGAAGGTCAAAACATATTCAAAAAATAGTCCCCAGACTATTTTTGGACTATTGTTTGATTCTTTGGGGTGTATTTGTTCGTTGTAAATCCCCCCAGTAGGGGGACAGCGGTTCGCCCCGGCATCGGTTCACCCCGGCCGTCGCCCAGACCTCTCCCGGGCTACGTTCCGACCAGAATCGCGCGGCGGATCGCCGAGGGCCTCCAAGGCCCTCGCCGCTGCGGCTGGGGGAGGCCCTCGTATTACGTTGCTCCCAGGAGGGCGCGTTCCGGGGGGCCGCTGGAGGAGGAGGAGGAGGAGGAGGAGGAGGAGGAGGAGGAGGAGGAGGGGGAGGAGGAGGAGGGGAGGGGGGGAGGAGGAGGAGGAGGAGGAGGGAGGAGGAGGAGGGGAGGGAGGGGAAGGAGGGAGGAGGAGGGAAGGAGGAGGAGGAGAGGAGGAGGAGGAGGAGGGGGTGCCACGGCCCCGGGTGCCCCCAGCGTTGCGCTCCGTCGTGGAGAACCTGGGGGCCCCGTGGGCCTCGCGAGGGCTGCTCTGGAGGCCGCGGTGGCTCCTCGGAGCTCCCGGGGGGCACCCTGGGCCAGGGGGCGCTTCCAGCCATGCCCGACGCGCGTCCGAGCGCCCACGCGCTCGTTCGCCGAGGCCCTCCGGCACAAGGCAGCGCCACGAGCGCCGACGCAGGGGCTGCGCGCTCTCGGCGGAACCGAGCGGGGTACATTGCGCGTTTCGGCGAGCACTACGGACCTCCTCCTCCTCCTCCTCGTCCTCCTCCTCCCTCCTCCTCCTCCTCCCCTCCTCCTCCTCCTCCTCCTCCCCCTCCCTCTCCTCCTCCTCCTCCTCCTCCTCCTCCTCCTCTCTCCTCCTCCTCCTCCTCCTCCTCCTCCTCCTCCTCCTCCTCCTCCTCCTCCTCCTCCTCCTCCTCCTCCTCCTCCTCCTCCTCCTCCTCCTCCTCCTCCTCCTCCTCCTCCTCCTCCTCCTCCTCTCCTCCTCCTCCTCCTCCTCCTCCTCCTCCTCCTCCTCCCTCCTCTCTCCTCCTCCTCCTCCTCCTCCTCCTCCTCCTCCTCCTCCTCCTCCTCCTCCTCCTCCTCCTCCTCCTCCTCCTCCTCCCCCTCCTCCTCTCCTCCTCCTCCTCCTCCTCCTCCTCTCCTCCTCCTCCTCCTCCTCCTCCTCCTCCTCCTCCTCCTCCTGTGTCCCGAGGAGCATCGACCCCGGAACCCAAGCCTCCAGGCTGCCCCCGCGCAGCACCGCCCGGAACAGCAGCAGTGACGGGATCCCCGCGCCGCCCGCCCGCTTGGGTGCGCCGGGCGGCCCCCCGGCGGGGCCCGGGCCCGGCGCGCCCGGCGGCGCCGCCGCGGAGGGGTCGTCGGGTGCGGCGCCCTGATCGGGAAGCAAACCGGGGGGCACGATCAGGCTAATATCCTCCCCGTCCTCTCTCCGCACTCCGCATCCTCCCTCCGCACTCCTTCTATTCCTCCTCCTCCTCCTCCTCCTCCTCCTCCGTCGCTCCTCCTCCTCCTCCTCCTCCTCCTCCTCCTCCTCCTCCTCCGCCTCCTCCTTCTCCTGCTCCTGCTCCTGCTCCTGCTCCTCCTCCTCTTCCTCCTCCTCCTCCTCCTCCTGCTCCTGCTCCTGCTTCCCCTCCTCCTCCTCCTCCTCCTCCTCCTTCGTCGGCTGAAGCTTTATCAGTCGTGGGCTGATCGGCCAAAAAGTTGGCATGCTCAGACCTTGTGCGCAATGTTCGGCACGCTCGCGATAGAGGAGAGGCTTAGGATTGAGCCTCGGCTTCAGGACGGCGTTCCCACGGCATCGGCTTCTCCGTGGGTGAGTCAGCTAGTTCAGGATGTAGAGTATGCTTCGGAGAAATTTGAGTATTACGCTACTGAGGAGCTTCTCTTGGACTTGAGAATTCTGGCTGACCCCGAGGCCTCCCAGGACTTCGTGAACATCAATTTCATCGAACTCCGAGCTCGAGAATCTAGTGTGCATATCCCTCCCCCACGTGCGCGCATGGCTACTACTACACAGGAGGAGAGCACGGAGGAGGCGAGCCAGAGGATCGAGGTGGTCGGCAATTACAGGTGCAAGATCACATAGGACAAGGGCGACATGTGCAACGCAATATGTCATGATCGCAGGGCACTGCTGAACCATATGAGGGCACATCATCATGTTCGCACTCTACCCGCAGTATTAACGCCATGTAACAGATGCATACACTGTAGACAAATATTTTCAACACGAGTGACAGCAACACGGCATCTTCTCGGGTCAGTTCTTAGAGATAAGTGTTCGACGAGGGGGCCTACTTCGCTTTCATCACCTGTGCTTCCAAACACATATGATTGCCCAGTGTGTGGCCACAAAAGTGCGGACTTGAACGATCTCTGCTGCCATCTTTGCTCACATCTCCCGTGGAAGTCACAGCCTTTTCGAGAACGCCCGCCACCGCCAGAGAGTGCCTCCGAGACTGGTGGGCGCAACCATGGCCGAGCTCTCGATGCCGTCGTGGTTCAACCCAGCGCAGGCGCGCCGACCAGACGCCGAGGGCGAGAAGAATCCCAAGAGCGCGAAGGGCAGCGGCGGCGGCGGCAGCAAGGGGCAGCGAAGACGAGAGCCGCCGCGGCAAGCTGCTCCTGCTCGTGGCGCGGCTCCTGCTGGCGACCACGCGCGGCATGGCGGACCTGGCGGCAGCAGAATTCATCGCGTTCGAGATGCAGCTTCTGGGCTCTCCGTCGGCGTTGGCAGCAGCGGGCAAATCTTACGACGTGAAGAGCAGGGAGCTCGCCGAGAGATCCAAGTCGGGCGAGACTATCAACCACCGCGCCTGCAGTCCGCCACACCTGCACATCTTCGCGGCAGGCATCCACTACATAGCGACGAGGCAGTGGGCCGAGGGCGCGACCGCCGAGAAGGATAAGCAGCTGAAGACGGACGCGGCCGAGTTTTGGGAGAACACCATCGCGAAGGTCCCCATGGCTCACATTGGTTGCTTCGTGAAGTACGTGAAGCTCAAGGTCTTGAGAGGAGCGAATCCGACCAGCGCTGCCTGATCCTCATGCATTTCGACACCTCCGACCCGATCGGCATGCAGGGCCAGAACCTGTTCCAACAGGTGATCGAGCTCGAGGGGGGAGAGGCTTCACGGGTCGGCGCCGCGGGGCCCATTAGAGAAAGAGAGAGAGAGAGGGAGAGAGATTTCTTCAATCGTAAACGGCAGGTGATGTGGCAAGGTAGTGAAAAGGCTAGCTTCGCTTGTGCAGAGAGGTTTAGTGGATCCAGCGGTAGCAGCACGAGCGATGCCAGGGGAGCGAATTATGCAGTCATATGTGCAGCCTGAGCTCCCTAGCATCACTACTGTAGTATTGCCTCGTAGAGGCTCTGGCCGTGGGGGGGAGAGGGCGGCGAGTCGTGGGCGTGGGAGGGGGGAAGGGAAACACCGACCAGCGAGAGCCAGCAGCAGGGATAACAGTCTCCGCTTGGCTGACTCCTGCGCCGTTCGAGTCGGCACTCGTTCGAGGTCGCGTGCCTCAGAGGTGCCGACAGGCCAGTGCCTCAGCTGAGGAGCGTGAGCTGCAGGTTTTAAGGCATAATCTTCGTGAGGGTCGAAGCTACCCACTCCCAAAATCCCGTGCAAAGCTGTTGCATCGTTCAGACAGTTGTGGATTCCATGGGCTCGTCTCGTCTCGTCTCCTTCTTTTCGTCTTTTTCCTCCTCCTCCTCCTCCTCCTCCTTCTCCTTCCTCGCTCCTTCTCCTCCCCTCCTCCTCCTCCTCCTCCTCCTCCTCCGCCTCCTTTTCCACCTCCTCACCTGGCATCCAAGATGCTCCCAAGAAACCCCCAAGAGGCCCCAAGAAGCTTTCCGAGGCACCCAAGACGCTCTAAGAGGCGACCGGGACCGCCCAAAGGCCCCCAAAACGCTCCAACAGGCCTCCATTGGGGGGGCCCTTCCTCTGTGTGTTGCCCACTTCCCTGATCGAGGCAATTCCTCTGGGCATCGTTTCTGGATGGGCTGGTGGGTTTTTTGTCGCAACCGCAGGCGAAGGCGCCAGCGGCGTCTCGAGTCGGCTCGGGCTACGAGCGAAACTAATTGCCTGACGCGCGCTGGTGGTGTCTGTTGCTCGCGAGCGCAAGAGGGATAGCCGCGCGCCGTCAGAAATATGCCGAAAAACAAAAACCTAAATTGCAACGGCCTAAGCGGAACCGAGCGCGTGCAGCTAACAAGCAGCGGAAAAGTCACGGACAAATGGAAGCTAGGCAACGAGGCTCAGCCGCCGCTGAAAGGCGAGGACACCCGGGCCCAACTGTCGGTGGGTTCGACGGCGCCCACAGTGCGGTAGCGTCACCTTCGACATACCTCTTCTCGGCGACAAGTCCGCAGGTGCCGACTGTATGACCAGCGCGCCACCGCAATCGTCAGGAACAACGCCGCGTAACCGCACCTGGTGGGCGAGCGGGCCGTCGAGGAAGTACCAACATACAACGAGACCTAACATTCGGAGGACTCCCAATCGACGAGCCCGAACAAGCGGCGCACTAGAACCATGGGCTGGTGGGGTTACGCGAAGCGTCTAGAATTCCACCAGCCCTCTGGGCGTCGGTAGTTTAAAGCGTTTCCTCTTCCACCCCTCCTTCTTCTCCTTCGGGGAAGGGTTTACCACTGCCCTTACCTCCTCCTCTGGACCTGGACAAAGGGTTTCGCGAGGTGTCGGAACGTCCAGAACGACTTCGGCGAGGAAGCCAACATCACTGGTTTTACCTAAGGTTTTGGCCCCATTTCGGCCTCTTGGGGGGGAGGGACGCTAGTTGGGCACCCCCCCTCCTGTGATCGATCTCGCCCACGATGGCGCAAAAATGGCCCCCAAGACTCCCAAGGGTGCCCCAAAAGGGCTCCAAGAGGTGGCCAGGAAACCCCAAGAGGCCCCCAAAGGCCCCCAACATGCTCCCAAGAGACCCCCAGGAGGCCCCAAACGACCCTCCATAGGCACCCGAGATGCTCCAAGAGGCCTCGGCGATAATGCCAAATCATTGATTCTACGAACGTTTTAGCCACATGTTGGCCTCTTTGAGGGGGGCAATGATTAAGATGACTCCAAGAGCGCCTGGGAGAGCCCACAATGACCTCCAAGATGGTTTAAGAGATCCCAAGATGCCTCATAATGGCTTCCTCTGTGTGCCGCCCACTTCCCTGATCGAGACAATTCCTTTGGGCATCGTTTCTGGATGGGCTGGTGGGGATTCTTTTTGGTCAACAGGCTCGCGAGGCGGGTCGAAAACCGTCCGAACACTAGTCGGGCCGCGACTAGGCAGCACAGAAAGAAAGGCAAGCGAAGCGAGCGAGCGGGCAGCCACTCAGAAGGAGAGCCAGAACCGATACCCCCAAACCCGGTGGCGTTGGAAATGCCCGTGGCGACCAGCAAGTAAGCGCAGCCAAAATGGCGCGGCGGCGCGACCATAAACACGCAGAGGTCGATCGCCCGATGTGAGTCAAGCAAACAGCACCGTCAGAACTAGACCGACAAGCACACCCAGACGACATCCGTGAAGTAGGCGACACAAATCCCAACACATCACTGGTGGGGATTCGCGAAGCGTCATCAATTCCCTATGGGGCCACGGAGCGCGCGAGGTGTGCAGAAATAGGCGCGGCGGGCGCATGCGAACGCAGCCATTGGGGCCGTCGGTGGAGCTCCCTATGGTGCCGCGAAACGTGTGAGATGGGTGTCCCGACATGATTGTGCGTGGCGCATGAGGACGGTGGCATTGGGGCCTTCGGTGGGGCTCCCTGTGGGGCCACGAAACGTGTGAGGGGCATGCCGCAATGTTTATGCGTGACGCATGCGAGCGGTGGCACTGGGGCCTTCGGTGGAGCTCCCTAAGGGGCCACAAAACGTGCGAGGGGTTTGCCGAAATGGGTGTGCGTGACGCATGCGGGCGGTGGCACTGGGGCCTTCGGTGGAGCTCCCTAGGGGGCAACGAAACGTGTGAGGCGTGTGCCGGAATGCGTGTGCGTGACGCATGCGGGCGGTGGCACTGGGGACTTCGGTGGAGCCCCCTGTGGGGCCACGAAACATTTGAAGGGTGTGCCGAAACGCGTGTGCGTGACGCAAACGGGCTGTGGCACTGGGGGCCTTCGGTGGACCTCCCTATGGGACCACAAGACGTGCGAGGGGTGTGCCGACAAGGGTGTGCGTGACGTATGCGGGCGATGGCACTGGGGCCTTCGGTTGAGCTTCCTACGGGGCCACGAAACGTGTGAGGGGTTTGTCGAAGTCGGTGTGCGTGACGCATGCGGGCGGCGGCACTGGGGACTTCGGTGGAGCGCCTCATGGGGCCACGAAACGTGTGAGGCCTGTGCCGAAATGCGTGTGCGTGACGCATGGGGGCGGTGGCACTGGGGCCTTCGGTGGAGCTCCCTATGGAGCCACCGAACGTACGAGAGGTGTGTGCCGAAATTGGGTGTGCGTGACGCATGCGGGCGGTGGCACTGGGGCCTTCGGTGGAGCTCCCTATGGTACCACAAAACGTGTGAGGGGTGTGCCGGAATGAGTGTGCGTGACGTATGCAGGCGGTGGCACTGGGGCCTCTGGTGGAGCTCCCTATGAGGCCACGAAACGTGTGAGGGATGTGCCGAAATGCGTGTGCGTGACGCACGGCGGTGTCATTGGGGCCTTCGGTGGAGCTCTCACGAAACGTGTGCGGCGTGTGCCGGAATGGGTGTGCGTGAGGCAAGCGGGCGGTGGAACTAGGGCCTTCGGTGGAGCTCCCTGTGGGGCCACGAAACTTGCGAGGGGTGTGCCGACATGGGTGT